TCTCCGCCGCCTGTACCTGAACACACGTCATCGCCGCCTGAAACAGACCGACAACAATCGTGAATGGCAATCTATATTTTTATGAATAGCATTAACTGTTATTATTGATTTCTTCATAACAGATTTGAACAAAGGGACTCAGTTGCCAGTTATCTCAGTTTAATTGAACCTGGGAAAAGGGGAAACTCAAGAAGACCTTATAAAAACGCAGGCAAATCAAAATTTCTTCCCATCCTATCACAAAGAGAACGAAATATTCTACAGCGTTGCTGCCATCGTTAGACAAACCCTGACAAAGAGGAATGTATAAACTAGTGTGGCCTGGCTGATCCGCGTCATTAGAAAAAGATGTGCAGTAGTCAGTAATTCGAAACTGAATTCAATGCCTCAGAAAGTGGTAATGACATCCGTAGAAGGCAAGTGGAAATATGGAGTAGATTTTCTACAGTTGGGAACTCTAACTGTAAATCACAAAATGACTGAGTTAATACACGTTCATATTCAAAAACAGACAAGGGAAAATTTGTTCAGAAACTCAGAAAGCGAATAACGAACCACAAAGAATTTTAATTAGTGAAAAATAATTTAGTCAAACTGGAGAAAAAAACATTGCAAGTTGGAATATCGATCTTCCTTGTACCTCAATGGCAGAATGCGTCATTTCTGGCAAAATTCTTTAACGAAGGCCGTAGAACATCGTTGATTTACATTCAAACATCATCAGCTGGGGATACCCCCAATTTATAAAGCCACTTAGACTTGACTCTTTCAATTCCGGTGACGTTGTTGCAACTTCTATGTAAGACGTCTACTCCTGGCAACCCATACGCTGCTATGGATTTCGAAGACCAACCATTGAAAAGCGTCATTACACTGGGATTAAAGAAAACTTATTCGTATCCTGCCTCAGGTAGTTGACAACCCTGATATCGGCCAGCACGCAATTTCTATGTGACATTTCGTTTAGTCAGACTTAATCTGCAATGTACGGTGATTATTCAAGATTACGTCCTCTGATAAAGGAGTCACGTCATGATTTAGCAGAAAAATACCAAATGTGCAATGAATACCCTTTCATAGCATAAGTGAGAGCTGGGACACCGGCGAAACTTAACAGGAACTTCCAGCAGATACCATGACACCCAAATTTGCTATTCTCGATACATGTTATTTTAAAAACTTCATGTCTTGCTTTCCCCATGATAAGACCGTTTGTTTTCGGCATCGTCGGTTGCGTCCTGACGATGCCACCGGGGTACCAATGAAACGAATAGGCAATAAGTTTTACCATCAGCTTCGACTGTTGCCCTTTTTGTCTGGCCAATTAACCAGTTCTGAAAAAATATCTACAGGTAGTTTACAGTTTCAATGTATAGGCAACTGGTCATCATTTCTCCCATGCTGTTAGATCACTCACCGTATTATTCCAAGATATGTTCAATGAATATACTGTGTGTAAAATAAGGTTAATCAGAGAAACTACGTTCACATTCTGACTCCCCCCCTCAACCTCTCCCCGATCTACGGGAGGAAACATTTTTCTTCAAAATATACCTGTGCAGTAAAATCGAACCGCAGTCTGTCAGGAGCCACCAGCGAACCCTTTTGGTCTGCAGTACCAAGAACTTCACGCAGGGCAAAATTCAGCACGTGAGTTGCTGTATGGTTTTTCATTACCAGTTTTCTTCTGTCCTATTAAAAACAATACAGAAATCCGAGAGAACAAAACATGACATACAAAATCGATAAACTGCTGAACGGTGTCGCCCAGGCGCAATGTACCCTCTACTTCTCCGACATGAACCACGTAGCCACCCCTTGTCTGGACGTTCTTTACGGTGAATTCGACTTCGTCCTAAATTAACTCAACGTTAGTCGCGGGCTCAACATAAATTCATAAAATTATAGTAATCAAATCGTCATTAATAATAATAATACTTAATTAAATATGTCAGTGATCCTGGCGCGAAAACTAAGCAAGAATACAATTGGAAAATCACAGTAATAATATATAAAGAACAAATCGCTACTTCGTTTAAAACTTATACCAATAAGCCTAACGATAGTGAAACCATTGTCGAGCGACTGGTGTGGCACTGACTGTTCGTAAGGAAGGAAATTCAAAAGGAAGCTTTCTCTCGTATCTGCTTTCGCAGAAATCTAATGAATGAACCGAATTGGTTACGTTTTGAGTCAAGCAGTGCAACTTCAGCTTAAAATCGTTCTTTAAAA